CAATGGCTGTGAACATTTAAAACTAACACGAGTCTCTATAAGTGTCCAGTTTTAGGGTCTTACACAGAATTATACCAAACAACATGAATCAAACATGCACTTTATTTATTTACACTAAATGTCAAAAGTACATCAAATTGGATTGAAGCTAAGGACATACAAAACTGTCTAACACCATGGCCCTGTATTCAGCTTTAGCATTACTCCTTGCCACAACGGTCTACTTCTTACTCTTCCACGTCACAAGATTTGCTCCAAGAAATGTGCAGTAACTTGTAGTAGATTTTCTATCCGACACTGAGCCTTCTGAATCTGCATCTGTATACCCAATTACCTCAAGTCTTCCTCCTATTTTGTACAATAACCCACGGCTTGGAGCTCCCTTCAGGTACCTTACAATTCTAAGAACTGTATCCCAGTGAGGTATTCGTGGGTTCTGCATAAATTGGCTCACCACACTGACTGCAAAGGAGATGTCTAGTCTTGTGATAGTCAAATAGTTCAGCTTCCCCACTAACCGTTGTATCTTATAGGATCATCAAATATTTCCCTTGAATCACTGCTCAACTTAGCATTTGGTTCCATGGGAGTTTCAGCTGCTTTTGCACCTAACAGTCCTGTTTCATCTAGTAGATCAAGAACATGTTTTCTTTGGCACAGGTTTACACCTTGTTTTGATCTGGCAACTTCTATACCCAAGAAATACTTCAACTTCTCAAGGTCTTTTGTTTGAAAATGGTATTGCAAAAGACCTTTAGTTTATCAATCCCCAATTTGTCACTGCCAGTTATGACAATATCATCCACATAGACCACTAGTAAAATCTTCCCGGCTTCTGAATCATAGCTGAACACTGAGTGGTCAACCTAACATTGTTTCATTCCAAAATTCTCCACCACTTCACTAAACTTCCCAAACCAAGCACGAGGCGATTGTTTCAACCCATAAATTGTCTTTTTCAGTTTGCACACCTAACCATCCTCCCCCTGAGCCACAAACCCAAGTGGTTTCTCCATATATACCTCCTCCATAAGGTCACCATGAAGGAAGGCATTTTTAATGTCAAGTTGAAACAAGGGCCAATCATATATAACTGCCAGGGAAATTAAGACACAGATGGAGCCAATCTTGCCATTGGAGAGAAGGTCTCCATATAGTCCACCCCATACAATTGTGAATAACCTTTAGCAACAAGTCTGGCCTTCAGACGCTCCACACTACCATCCGGCATGTGTTTAACAGTATACACCCGTTTACAACCCACAACATGCTTACTGGGAAGAAGAGTAGTGAGCTCCCATGTTTGAGTATGCTGAAGGGCAGAGAGTTCCTCCTCCATTGCTTGACGCCACCCAAGTGAGGTAAGTGCCTCCTGGACATTCTTAGGTATAGAAATAGATGACAACAGTGAAACAAACGAGCGATGTGAAGCGGAAAGGCGAGAGACTGAAACAAAATTGGAAATTGGATGGAGGGTACAACTACGTTTACCTTTCCATAAAGCAGTGGGAAGATCAAGTCCTGAACGTTCTGGGGCAAGAGCAACAACAAGATCCACAGGTAGGGTAGAAGATGGAGGGGGATCCGGTGTCTGTCGATGAGTATACACGTGCCAGATCGGTGGTCGTTCAGTAGGAATCTACACTAGAGGAGGTGAAGGGTCAGCCCCAATTTGAATAATTAGAACGGGATCACGAACTAGAAGAGGAAGAGGAGGCAAAGGTGGAGATACCAATTAAGGGTCAATCCACCGGTTTCATGCCCTCCACCAATCTTCTTCCCCGTCTTGAGATCCTGAAAAACACAAAAGGAAGGGAAAAATGTAATAGAGCAATTAAGGGTCTTAGTTAATTTATTGACTGACATAAGATTGAATGGAAATTTAGGTACATATAGAACAGATGATAAAGAAAGAGAAGTCGTGTCAACATTACCAACACCACAGATGGGAGAAGAGGGACCGTTGGCAAGGGTAACAGTTTGAGATGTGGAAATTTCAGAGAGGGAAGAGAACACACCTGGAGTCCCGGTGATGTGATCAGAGGCTCC